TCATAATGATACATATACATATGATAATCGGATTATTCCATTACTTCGTCGTATGTCAAATCTTGAACAATTACTTTTATGTCTTACTATTAGAAATCATAATGGTTTAATTGATGGTACTCATCTTCAAAATGAAATTTATAGTTATATGCCATTTCTTAACAATTTTGCATGCGATATTCGTACACGAAATTTAAATTATGGGTTATTACCAATTTTATCGAATGATGATATTCAACAAACTCTTTCTAATATTAGATATGGACCAATGATTGGTAGTATACGATATTTTTTAACAAATAGTGTGCTTTGTCATGTCTTTACACTTCCATTTGCATTTGATCGTTTACAATATCTTACAAATAATCTTCCAAATGTCTTATTTGATCGTGTTTGTTATTTGTCTATATTGGATATATTATCATTTGAACATGAGTTTTTTATTCGATTATCTCAAGCTTTTCCATTACTTAAACATCTTACTGTGATAAATTTAACAGCACAACAAAATAATGATCAATCTTATTCAATTATTGAATTTAAAAATCTTAATTATCTTAATGTTATGGCTGCAGATATTAGTTATCTGGAACAATTTTTACTTAATACAAGAACATATCTTCCTTCGTTAATTGAGTTACATACCAATTATGGACACTTAAAAAATGTAACAGAAGATTTTACTAGAGATGCTACACGATTTAATTGTACTAAAATAAAGCAATTATATACAGGAGTAAATTTGATGTATTTAAATGAATATTTTCATTATTTTCCTTTGTTATCAAATTGATTTGTTTGTTTTTTAATTAATGAAATAAAATATCAAAGTCAATATTGTTAAATTAATTGACAACGGTTTTCTCAGTTTTGATATTCTTAATCGTATATCGGCGAATACTCTTTCAAATGCTGTTAAAGCTATTTTTTATAACTGATGCAATCTTTCCACAACAGCAAGTTTTAGCTCTTTTTAAGAAACATACTGATATCAAATGAGCTGTAAAACAAGTACCTAAGGACTTCGTTAATGAAAAATTTCTGCTTATATTATGGCTTTAGATTATAGTAGATTAGAAGCAAACATTTTCGATTTATGATATAGGTGTGACACGATTATCACTAGTTTAAATTATTAAGAAAGTAATCAAGCAACATAGAGCTATTTTTATAAAAGTATTTATAAATGAGATAGATATCAAATATTATTATTCTTTTTTATCTTTAAGATGTATTTAACAATACATAAACTTCGCTTACGGCCATACCACGTTGAATACACCAGTTCTCGTCCGATCACTGAAGTTAAGCAACGTCGGGCTCGGTTAGTACTTGGATGGGTGACCGCCTGGGAATACCGAGTGTCGTAAGCTTTTTGATTTTTTTTGTTTTACTTTCAATATAACTGTAATATCCAATCATGTACCTTTTTTCTACGATATTGCTTTCACTGAAATATTTTTATGCCTATTTATTGAACTAAAAAACTAAATCTTATAGGAGTACATATAGGCTACTGTTTCGAGAAAGAGATACATGGAAGAATAGGAATTGCTTGAGAGATTTTGACAGAATTTAAAAGTTTCACTTCAATTCAAACTCATTTTAAATGTTATGCCGCTAAAGTGCCGGAAAGTGTAACTCGTTTTGAAGTGTGCTATAATAGAAAATATGCTGAACAAAGTACACACATGTAAGTTCTTGAAATAATCCCACTATTATATTTCGATGTAAATGCTTTATATATGAGATGTATCAATGTACATTTTATGATTTTTTATAGCATCTAATTTTTCTGGAAAAGTAAATAATAACTAGCTGATCAACGTCATTATTTATCATTAATAATATTTAGTAAACTAGTAATTTTTGTACCAAAAGACATAGTCCTAATTTCTATACTCGGTTTGATTATACTAACGAACGTTTCTTTCTATTATTCTTCGACTGAATGACGACCGTTATTTTTCCACACAGTATTTTCATATATATGAGAATAAAAAATAAACATATTTAGAACAGAATTTTATAGTTTCATTTGAGAAATCATAATCTGCGCTTCTCTCAGTAACATTTAAAAACTACTCAATGTTGCTTACAGACAATATAATAAAAAAAAGTAAAAAGCTTACGACACTCGGTATTCCCAGGCGGTCA